ACATCGAGCAACCTCCCAGGTCAAGCAAACAGTAAATTCCTCACCTTACATTTGATCTGAGCCTTCAAGAGGCTGAGAAGCAAGAGAAGGACCCAGGCCTGAGAAGAAATGTTTAAGGGAAGTAGTAGTAGTAGACAGCCAAGGACTCCTTTTGGTGCTTTGAAATATAAATGCACACAGCAAGAGGCAAATTATAAAACACCAAAAGATGGGGAGGGCAGCTAGATAGAAACAGCTGTGTTAGCATCACCATGACATAAGATAAGACAAGTGGGAAGTCATGCCAGGCTGGTGAGGAAAGAAATGAGAAACCATTCTCTCACTCCCATAGACTCCTAGAGAAGTCAGGCTGTTCCAAATGTACATTGCACTAAAAGAAAAAAAAATGCATCCAAAGTGCACCAGGTGTTGGGAGCCCTGTTTTGGGACATTTAACCCACCTTCTGCACCATGTAGAGAATGCAGGTATCTAACTTCAGGATCTGAATCCCACCTTTGGAGCTAGGGAGTCTAAGGGCCATGTTTTAGCACATGTTACCTGCAGTTCATATGTGACTGTCCACGCATTCAAGCACTAAATCATGTACCTATTGACATTGCTGCATAGCAAGGTTAGGACTTTTCAAGCAAGGAGCGAGGGGTATCTCCAGATAGTGCTAAGAGATGTGCGTTCAGCTATTGTCAGGCCACTCCAAGGGGATAATGTGAGCACAGCAAACCAGTTGTCAGTCCCAGCCCTGGCAATGCACTGGAGTCTTAACCCAGTCATGCACCTGTGCTGTCAGGAAACAGCTGTGAGACAAAATAGGTAAGGGATATGTGGTTCACTCATCCTTCTTTGGCTGGTGGATGAGAAAGTGCTACCTAAGAGCTATCAATTTATCAGCATCATTAAAATGATTATGTAGAAAAGGTATGAATTCAAGTCCCCGTTACTGTGCTAAACATCCCCTTCCTAATGTAGGCCTTCTGATGCAATCTTTATTATGTGATTGCAAGAGAAATTTTACTCAACTTCCCTCTTTAAAAAAAAATCTAGGCAACGTATGGCAGGATGCAAGTCCCTAGCACTGAAAGGGTTAATTGAGGCTGGAGGCAGGAGTAAATAACAGGCACATCTGAGCATAGTTGGTCCCAGCTGGCTCGGGGCTTCACAGGGAGGCAACATAAATATCCCCTGCTCGGAGTAGCTGATCCCCGTGCATATCCCAGGCAGGGAGTCCTCACTCCTGCTGCACCGGGAGACAGGTGAGTTGTCTGGGTTCAGGGCAGCTCTTTGGCATTTCTTTTACAATGCTGACATGGTATTTGAAGGAGGACACTGATCAGGAGTCCGACAAACTACACACATGCACATGCACAGACATGCACACACACAGAGAAACCAAAAATATCATCTCTCTCTCAACAAAACTATACAAAATATAGGGTGTTTTTTGTAAATTTGCTATAATTTTTGACCGGTCAAAAAATATGCAGTCAATAGAACAATGAATTGACAATATTTAACTGGACGATGGACTGGCTCCCCAACCCTACAGCAGATAAATTGCTTCATGAACATGCAATCAGAGGTCCAGGCCAGAGGGCTATATGACCCATGGCACAGAGCAAGGCAGCCCAGCCACCTCCATCCCCAGCACACACAGCTCTTCTCCACCTGGCCCCAATTTTGGGGATTGTTTTGGGCCTAAAGAGAGGAGGAGCCAGGAGCTCCAGAGGTTTCAAGGTGCCTGCGGGAGCACCAGCACAGGGAAGTCAAGACAACCCCCTTCAATGGGAAGAACCAAGTCCTAGGAACTAGCTGGGTTTGCCCTGGTGCTTGAAGGAGACACCACCAAATGCAGAAAGAACAGCAAGGAACCAAGACCAGCCCCTTCGGGGAGAGGTTTTCACTTTTTTCCAGAGCCCATTAGTCACCATCTGAGCCCTGACCTTTGGTGTTGCACATCCTTGCCAAGGAGCCCAAGAACAGCTCTAACAAAATGGTCCGGTCTGTCCATGCAGAACGTAACAAAAAAACTACATTTCTTTGGTAGTATTCTTGGGAAAAATATGGTCTTTCCTTGTTTTTGACACATTTCTTATTGGAACAATTCTGTTTCTTCTGTGTATTATTTGGACCTGTTAAAAAGTTTTTACAAGTTTTAATTGATAGTTCACCGGTCAGTTGACCAAACTTAATTTGACCGATCAGGTACCCAACCCTACTTTGAAGAAGGGAGCTGATCCAGTGATGTGCAATGCACCCATCGAGATGATGATGTCAGAACAAACATTTCGCTTTATGTGCAAACAATTAGGGATCGTATACTGAGAGCTGTGGAAAAGACCGAGGGGTGTTCAGCATCACGACTGATGCTTGTGCAGCTCACAGGCTTGTGTGCATTTTGTGTCTCCCCACACAAGTCTGACAGCTCTCAGCCTGCAGTCCCAGGGAGGATTTATGCTTTTAGCTTTGCAAATCACTGGTTGGACCCTGGAAGGCAGCGCCAGTCATGCCTGCAGGATTGTGTCTGAAGGTGTCTAAGGAGGCTTTTTGCTGGGAACTAAGGGAAGCTTTGCAGGCACATCTTCTGAGGTGACGAAGATAGGGACAACACTGCTGCATCTCCTGCTGTTGGCTTCGGCAGTCTGTGCAGCATCTGGGGAAGCAAACATCTTCCTTCTGCAGCTGAAACCCTGTTGAGTGGGAAATTGTCCTTGCAACTCTTACTTTTAGTCATTCGAGTAGGGATAACAGAAATGGGATAGGCCGAAAGAGTCTGATGAGCACAGGGCAGCCTCTCACACTCTTGGGGAAGCTGGGCATAAACAGGTAGTGCACCGTGTTAGTTTGAAATAAGGCACAAGGCAAGATACATATGCAACTTAAATCAAGAAATGTTTGGACACTTTAAGAAGCCTTTGGATTTTTAGCTTGATGGGATCCTTTGACCCTAGCTGACTTCCTGCCCTGGGGCAGGGGGCTGGACTCAATGATCTCCCAAGTTCCCTCCCAGCCCTGATGTCTATGAAATCTTGCAGACTAACTATAAGTGATACATAGAGAGTACAAGCTTTTGTGAACTCAAGTCCATCCTGGCTAACAGAGCCAGAGGGGTGGGTTCAACTGCACGGCACAGCACTCCCCTTTTTCTGAAAAATGAAGCACCATGCACTGAAGATTTCCAAATCCGTATATAAAATCTAAGGAATTAAGAGACTAATGCATATCTAGTGGCCAATCAGGCTGAGAAAAGATGTGCCGCCGTGCCGCCTTGCCCAAAAGTTTGGAAGAATTGGAGCCAAAAGGGAAAGGGGGTGGGGGGCCTGAATACTGTGTCCCAAAACTGAACACAAGACTCCAGATGTGGCCTCACCAATGCCAAATAGAGGGGAAGAATCACTTCCCTCCTACCAAGGCAGCCCAGGATGCCATTATCTTTATTCACAACAAGGGCACACTGCTGGCTCATATGCTTTGGGGTATGTTGGCAAAACAGGTAAGAAGTGTGGCCATGGCTCCAACACATATAGTTGAGCTTTGGCTCTGGACTTACACCAAAGTCCTGGCTTTAAATGAGTATCTAGTCATTTAAGAGGAGTTAGTGATGGCTGTAGGTAGTGCTAGTCACATGACTGGGAGCCTTAGGCACACTAACCCAACGAGCCGCATGGACCTGACTTTGGCCAACTTCATGGTGCACTCGTGGTTTGCCTGGTTTCCGGTTCTGATGCTGGTAGATATGCTGGGCATAGCATTCTGTTTGTGCCATTGGCTACAGCAACTGGTGAGCCTTAGCCACACTAGCCCAAGGGTCCACACTGGCCAGGTTAGACCTCGGACCAACTCATGATGCACTTATTTCAGGTTCTGCTGGCATTTCAATTAATTAATATTGAATTCAGAGTTGATGGGTGGAAGGGGGAGGAATGACACTGATGTAAGGAAAATAGAAGTACCACTGATTTTGAAAGGCAGCAATATGATCTATAAAGAATAAATGTGAGTGGGCCAAGGGAAATGGCCCTGTCCTTCAAATGACAATATCACAACTACACATTGCATTTCTAGGATGAGGTTTGCAAAAACCTCTCAGCCCTTGCCTGACTGCTTCTGCTAAAACCAATGGCAAAATCCCTGTTACTTTACTTGAGGAAAGAGTAGATTCATCGCTGAATACTTTGAAATACCCATTTAGTTGGAATGCCTATGGGTCTTTCACACCTTTACTTCCTGTGACTTTCTGTAAGTCGCTGTCCTGAGAATGGGGCTAGATTTCAAATTGAGGAACCTGATCCTATCTTGAACGATTCATTTCTTTGCATGTTTCTGACTAATTGACTTGGTGCTTCCAGGTGAGGTGATGGTTGTTGCCAGGGAATGAGAGCCCTTTCAGCCCAGACTGGAGACGAATGGCCTGTCAAGTCAATGCTGAATGCCAGTACTCCCTTCCACCCTGCTGCCTTCCTCCTGGTTGGGATCCCGGGCCTGGAGGCCACCCAGTTCTGGATCGCCTTCCCTTTCTGCATCATGTATGTCATTGCCATGGTGGGAAATGTCATTGTCTCCTTCATTATAAAGACTGAGCCGAGCTTGCATGAGCCCATGTACCTTTTCCTGGCCATGCTGGCCATCACTGACCTGGTCCTCACCACTTCCACCGTACCCAAAATGCTGGGCGTCTTCTGGCTGGACTCCAGGGAGATTGGTTTCCATGCCTGCCTCGCTCAGATGTTCTTTATTCACACCTTCTCATCGGTGGAGTCGGGCGTTCTCATGGCCATGGCGCTGGACCCTCACCCCCCCCGGCACTCCAGCATCCTCTCCATCCCCATGACCAAGAAAATAGGCAGCCTAGTGCTGACACGTGGGGTCCTCTTGATAAGCCCCTTCTGCATCCTCGCCAGCCGGCTTCCCTTCTGCGGGCATCGCCTCATCTCCCACTCGTACTGCGAGCACATGGCTGTGGTGAAGCTGGTGTGTGGAGACGCCAGAGCCAACATTGTATATGGCCTAGTTGCGGCTTTTGTGGTGGTGGGCTTTGATGTGCTCGTGATCTCTGTGTCCTATTTCATGATCCTGCGGACGGTCATGAGGCTCCCATCCACCGAGGCCCGTCTCAAAGCCGTCAGCACCTGCGCTTCCCACACCTGCATCCTCTTGGCGTTCTACATCCCCGGCCTCTTCACCTTTCTCACCCACCGATTTGGCCACCACATCCCGCACCACGTTCACATCATGGTGGCCAATCTCTACCTCCTGGTGCCCCCAATGCTGAACCCTATCGTGTATGGGGTTAGAACCAAGGAGATCCGGGACAGAGTGAACCATCTGTTCCACCCAAAAGGGGTCTGAGCCAGGCTGGTGGGGGAAGGGGCGGGGGGGTTGACAAATGGCATCTTAGTGTCATTTGTTACCAGGGTCATTTGTTTCATGGAGCACTTTAAAACTGCCCTGCCCTGCATAAGAACGAACTTCCGCTGGGTCAGACCATTGCCCATCTAGCTCAGTGGCAGAGTTTGCATGTGGAAGGGGATTCTAAATAGGGCATATCCAGAGTTTTCACTCTGTGCCCCTGTCCCATTGCAAAGGTTTGGATATTTGTATTCAGAGTACACACCCCCATCTCATATTTAGTACCAGGAACTGGTCAATCAGAATTTGCAACTTCACAGAGCAGTGAGTTTGACACATTGATGTGAAGAATAAACTCATCTTGCTAGTATTAAACCCGCTACCCTTTCACCTGTGTCCCATAGTTCTAGTAGTTTGATGATTGTTAGGATTTTTGTTCACGTGTGTGTTCATGTGTGCAGGTAGATTGTGTGTGAAGGCGTGCATTCAAGTGTGTGCATCCCATTTCAGTACTAACATGTGTACCCTAGTAACTTTGCAGCCCAATGATGTAT